CTGAAAACCTTAAAATACCAGAGCATAAAGAATTCCTTATTCTTTTTCATAGCTGCTGTCTACTGCATGAATGTATAAATGTATGTACCCATTCACTTAACTACTTATTTTTATAATTTATTGTAACCAAAAAAATCAACGGAGAAACAAACTTGGATTGAGCAATGTTTCTGACTATACCATAAAATACACAAGAAGCCATGAAAGAAAAGATTGAAATAAAAAATAACTTTTCTACACAGCAGAACTCATATATGAATATTTGTTTTAAAATAATGTCTTCAGTGAATGATATTTTAATAGAAACTGACTTTTTTATGAAACAAATACCAAGCCTGATTTCAGATTTTATAGATTTTCAGGTTATGATTGACCACACATATTTGATCATTAACGTCTATGCTTCATTAGGAAAAGGAAGATGAGAGGGTCTATTTAGTTTGCATGTTTGCTTCCTTTCTTCTTTCCTCCCTTCCTCCCTCCCTGGATTGCTAAGCACTTTTCAGTGTAATTATGATTTGAAAGTGGAAATAGAAAAGGAAAGAGCATGAATAAGTCATTGGACAATCAGTCAGATCTTTTGCCACTCCCTGCTAGCGCTGCAATTTTGTGAATATCATTATGAGGTTTCATTAAGGAGAGGAACTAGCTTATATTTGATTTTTCCCCACCACAGTGAGGCTTCCTAGGTGGCTCAGTGGTAAAGAATCCACTTGCCAATGTAGGAGCTGCAGAAGATGTGGGTTCTATCCCTTGTTTGGGAAGATTCCCTGGAGAAGGAAATAGCAACCCACTCCAGTATTCTTGCCTGGGAAATCCCATGAACAGAGGAGCCTGCCCATCTACAGTCCATAGGATTGCAAAGAGTTGGACATGACTGAAGCGATTGAGCGTGTGCCTCTGTAGTGAATAGCTCAGTTCAGTTCAGTTCAGTCGCTCAGTTGTGTCTGACTCTTTGTGACCCCATGGACTGCAACACACCAAGCTTCCCTGTCCATCACCAACTCCTGAAGCTTGCTCAAACTCATGTCCATCTAGTCAGTGATGCTGTCCAACCATCTCATCCTCTGTCATCCCCTTCTCCTCGTGCCTTCAGTCTTTCCCAGCATCAGGATCTTTTCCAAAGAGTCAGTTCTTTGCATCAGGTGGCCAAAGTGTTGGAGTTTCAACTTCAACATCAGTCCTTCCAGTGAATATTCAGGACTGATTTCCTTTAGGATTGACTGGTTGGATCTCCTTGCAGTTTAAGGGACTTTCAAGAGACTCTCCAATACCATAGTTCAAAAGCGTCAATTCTTCAGTGCTAAGCTTTCTTTATAGTCCAACTCTCACATCCATACATGACTACTGGAAAAACCATAGCCTTGACTAGACGGACCTTTGCTGGCAAAGTAATGTCTCTGCTTTTTAATATGCTGTCTAGGTTGGTCATAACTTTCCTTCCAAGGAGTGTCTTTTCATTTCATGGCTGCAATCACCATCTGCAGTGATTTTGGAGACCCCCAAAGTAAAGTCAGCCACTGTTTCCACTGTTTCCCCATCTATTTGCCGTGAAGTGATGGGACCGGATGCCATGATCTTAGATTTCTGAATGTTGAGCTTTAAGCCAACTTTTTCACTCTCCTCTTTCACTTTCATCAAGAAGCTCTTTAGCTCTTCTTCACTTTCTGCCATAAGGGTGGTGTCATTTGCATATCTCAGGTTATTGGTACCTAATACAAAAATGTTTGCTAATCTCTTTAGAACTCAAATTGCTGCTGCTGTTGTTGTTTAGTCTCTGTGTCCAACTCTTTTGCAACCCCATAGACTGTAGCCCACCAGGCTCCTCTCTCCATGGGATTTCCCAGGCAGAAATACTGGAATGGGTTGCCATTTCCTTCTCCAGGGATCTTCCTGAACCAGGGATTGAACCCACATCTCCTGCATTGGGAGATGGGTTCTTTACCACTGATCTGCCAGGAAAGCCCATTGAAGAACTCAAATTTCTCACTTGTAAATTATGGATTATATTTATGAGAATAAATATGGAGTAATATGTGTGAGAGGATTTTGTTAACCATAGATAATTTATACGTACCTAAACAGTTATCTTTTTGAAAGAGGACTGAGCTTGCAGGAAAATATTAATATTGATATAATAAAAGCCTTATAACTCAGTTCTAGGCCTGGGGATGAGGAGGCGTGGACTTTACCACTTTACTGTGACATTCCAGAGTGCAGTTTTCTGGTTTTGGAACTTTGGAAAGTGTAGAATCATTTGTGAATGTGAGCTGCAGCTTTAGTGTAGAACAGACCCTGTTGACACAGATGACTTCTCGAGCTCAAGGTGTTCTTGCTTTTATCTTTTCCCATTAATGCAGCACACATTCACTGAAGTATGCAAGATATTGTGTACTAGGTGCTGTAGCCCATATTACTGTATCAGCTCTTTTTTAATCCAATTTGCTACTCTTTTTTTAATTTTTTATTGATTGAATTTCTGTGATATCTCTAGTGAAGGACAACCTTGAAGAATATTTGAAATACACGCATGACTAATTCTTTTTTTTTTTTTTTTTACTTTTAGACCATTTTTATTATCACAAAAGAAACTGCATGCCCATTAGCAGTCAGCTCCCACTTTCACCTCTCAACAGCCGCTTGCTGTTGTTGCTCTTGTTCAGTCGCTCAGTTGTGTCTGATTCTTTGCGACCCCATGAACTACAGCACGCCAGGCTTCTCTCCCTCTTTCACTATCTCCCTGAGTTTGCTCAAACTCATGTCCATTGAGACAGTGATGCCATCCAACCATCTCATCCTCTGTCACCCCCTTTTCCTCTTGCCCTCAATTTTTTCTAGCATCAAAATCATTTCCAATGAGTTGGCTCTTCAAATCAGGTGGCAGAGTCTTGGAGCTTCAGCATCAGTCCTTCCAGCAAATATTCAGGGTTGATTTCCTTTAAGATTGACTAGTTTCATTTCCCTGCTGCCCAAGGGACTTTCAGGAGTCTTCACCAGCACCACAGTTTGAAAGCATCAATTCTTATGGGCATTTCATATAAATGGAATCATATAATATGTAGCCATTTGTGTCTCGTTTCTTTCATTGCATATGATTTTTAAGTTTCATCCATGTCATGGTATGATTAATTTTAATAACTTTTAAACTAGTCTCATGTATCCAGACTATGGTTATTTCATTTTATGTATCATCAATATAAAACTTTATTAATGAGATATTTTATATTCTTATATGAAGACTTTTTTTGTGGTGTAGATTTTCTTTAGAGTACATCTCAGTTCAGTATAGTCACCTTTTAAATGTTCAACAGCCACATGTAGTTGGAGGTTACTGTAGTGGATGGCACAAGTATCAGATAGGACTCCTGGTTTTAGTTCAGAGCTCTTTTCACTGCATTGTACTTAAAATGTACACATTTTTATGAAGATGTGGAAGCAAATTTTTAGAGAAATTATACTGGAATCTAAAATGAGTTTCACCTAAGCTGCTCCATTCATACCTAATTTTCTTTTTTTTAATTAATTAATTTTTTAAAATTTATTTTAATTGGAGGCTAATTACTTTACAATATTGTAGTGGTTTTTGCCATACATTGACATGAATCAGCCATGGGTTTACATGTGTTCCCCATCCTGAACCCCCCTCCCACCTCCCTCCCCATCCCATCCCTCTGGGTCATCCCAGTGCACCAGCCCTGAGCACCCTGTCTCATGCGTTGAACCTGGCCTGGTGATCTGTTTCACATATGATAATATACATATTTCAATGCTATTCTGTCAGATCATCACACCCTTGCCTTCTTCCACAGAGTCCAAAAGACTGTTCTATACATCTGTGTCTCTTTTGCTGTCTCCCATATAGGGTTATCATTACCATCTTTCTAAATTCCATATATAACACATGACTAATTCTGACCATGTCTTATTTTGATTTAGAAGAAGGCTGACCTTCTGCTCCAGTTAACAGAATGTCACATTTAAGGCTAATAAGATTCTAAAACAGAAGCTTTACTTGGGTGCTTTTTTAAAAATTCTTTGACAGCTAAGATTAGCTGGCTTTCTATTAAATTTTCAAAACATAATTTTTAGAGTTCTGGAAACACATGTTACTCACAGAAGAGGATATTGAATCAAAGAATTATTTAATCATTTACCTTTTCAGTCATTCTCATGACTTTATGCTCTTTCAAGCTTGATATTGAGACCCATACAGCTATTCCATGTCTTTGCCCAACAGGAATAAATAAAAATTGATACGTTAGGGGGAAGGTATATAGAGGCTAAGATTATTAGGATGATGATTTTTTTATTTATACGTTTGTATTTGCAAATTTAAAATACTGTATGTTTTTCCCTCAAGTGTTAGTTACTAAAGGGAAAAAGTGACCAATTAAAATGGCAAGACCACAGATAAATTATAGATCAAAATTTTAATAAGCATGATAATAATCAGATTAATTCTAAACTTCTCTACTAGTTTTTAACATATTATTTTAAATTTTTTGTCTTTTTCTAATGAAGATTATTATTACTTGTAGCATTACACTTCCAACAGTATAATGGTGGATGTTGGCTTCCAAATTTTCAAGTTGCCCAAATTTGGAACTTACTTTCTAGGATTTATTGACTCTTCCTTTTTAAAAAGGAACTACCCCTTTCCTTCAGTTTAGCACTGCAGGTAGATTCCCTAGAGTGGATGAATCTGCCTTGTTCTTATCAGTAATAGCCCTCGGAATAGTAACTCTTAAGGCAGCAGTCCCCAACCTTTTTGGAACCAGGGACCGATTTCGTGGAAGACATTTTTTCCACAACCAGGGCAGTGGGAGGTTGGGGAGGGGGGGGTAGTTCAGGATGATTCAAGCCCATTTAATTTATTGTGCACTTTATTTCTAATCTAATGCTGCCGCTGATCTGACAGGAGGTACTGGTCTATGGCCCCAAAGATTGGGGGCCCTTGAATTAAGGCTTAAATTTTTAAAAAACATAATCTTTTCTTTCAGACCTCTTAAGCCATGAAAATGCAGCAACACTGAATGATGTAAAGACACTGGTCCAGCAGCTATACACAACACTGTGCATCGAGCAGCACCAGTTAAACAAGGAAAGGGAGCTTATTGAAAGATTAGAAGATCTCAAAGAACAGCTGGCGCCCCTGGAAAAGGTGCAGATTCAAATTTCACACTTTTCTCTTCACTAGTATTTTTTCCAGAGCATATATGTTTGCTTTTTTCCCCCTCCAAGTTGTATGTGATTGAATTATGTTAATCTGATGAGTTTGGGGAACTGAATCATAAAAATCTTCCAATTAAAGCTATGAAAGAACTTTAAAAGAAATAGTTTGGGCCTTGATAATGGACATACAGCTTTGAGGCCTGAATATATTCTCATTAACCAGATATACTACCTTTATGACAAAGGTTGGAATAATTGCTGATCAAGAAGGGTTCTAAGTGAGGTGGATAATCATTTTAGCCAATTTAAGAATTAAAATTATATGGAATATCATGCAACTGTTAAAAAACTATCCAGTAGATCTAATATGCTATAGAAAACTCATATTTTATGAAAAGTAAATTATGAGATAATGTACACATTAGTGCGTTTTGTTATTGTTTAGTCACTGAGTCGTCCAACTCTTTCGTGATCCCAAGGACTATAGCCCACCAGGCTCTCTGTCCATGGGGTTTCCCAGACAAGAATGCTGGAGTGGGCTGCCATTTCCTTCTCCAGGGAATCTTCCCAACCCAGGGATCGACCCTGCATCTCCTGTATTGGCAGACAGATTCTTTACCACTGAGCCACCAGGGAAGCCCATGGTAGTACATACTATGATTCCATTTTTAATTGAAATATATATTACACATATAGCCATACACACACACAGGCATACACACACACACGCCCAAAGAAGGAAATAGAAGGGACATATTCCCAAATGCTAATAGAATAATAGGATTATGAATAATTTTTTTTTCTCTATACTTTGCTGAATGTTTTACACTGAAGATGTGTCATCCTTATTTTTTAATAATAATACAAGTATTTCTACTTTAAGAAACTAGACTATATTAGAGATTAAGGAGGAGAATAAATACTCTTAATATTGTGCTTTTTTTTTTTATTTCCTTAAAAGTAATGAACATATATCTCAAGGTTGTTCTCATTAATTTAAGACCTTTAGAAATGTTTGAGGAACTATTGTAAAGGGAGATGAAATTTAAACTTTGTATTTTCAAAATGTAAAGCATTTTTTAATGTATCAGCTATAACAAAATAATTATCATCCTTTACTGAATATTTACTTTGTGCTAGAAATTGTCCTACATATTTACCTGTATTCTCTTATTTAACAGAACAACTCATTAATGAAGTGATGGTAATTCTCAGATCAGGGCCTGAACTCAGCTGTTCTGAATCCAGAGTCCATGCTCTGACTCACTGTGCTGTTTTGCCCCAGTAGACCTCTTGAGTAAAAAATTAATGATGGATTAAATCTTAAATGCTACAGTGAGAGAACATTAGCCTATTTTTATTTCCCTCTTTCAAAGAAAATCTTGTGGTTGGATAAAGACCTATTGAAACTAACTTATTTCACCATATTTTCAGCTACTAGTGTACTAAAAAAATGTTAGTCCTATAAAATATTATTCAGTAAAAACTGCAGATACTATTTAGGAAGACAAACTATATTTTCTAGAATTGAGACTAACTTGTATTTTGATTGCAAACCCTGTTCTTAAGTGAACATAGAACAGTTTAAATAAGAGTTTAAAATTGGTTCTATGTCAAAATGCTTTAGAGTTGACCGATCATGTGCGACCTATAGGTACGAATTGAAATCAGCAGAAAAGCTGAGAAGAGGACCACTTTGGTGCTATGGGGTGGACTTGCCTACATGGCCACACAGTTTGGCATTTTGGCCCGGCTTACCTGGTGGGAATATTCTTGGGACATCATGGAGCCAGTCACCTACTTCATCACTTATGGAAGTGCCATGGCAATGTATGCATATTTTGTAATGACACGCCAGGTAAGAATTCCTCTTCAAGTAACTTTTCATGACATAGTGAAATTTCGGTTGTCAAAGTAGTTCTCTTTTCTTTCATATTCTTTATAAGGCTAGTTCCCTTTAAGTAAATCACTTATCCTTTATACACAGTCACTCACATATACACATATACACGCACATGCTCATGCATGCCAATTATGTATCATGCACTAGTCTAGGTGCTAGAGATAGAGATATGTAAGACGTGGCTTGGCTTTGGCCCCCATGGAGAAAACAGACTATTAAGAGAACCATATAAACTGCTAAATTCATAACAATATTATGGTAAGATAGAGAATAAGAAGGCAAAGGAGAAGAGAGATCAGCTGTAGGATAACTTATTCAGTTCAATTGGCTTCGCTTTTTATGTACTGTGTAATTAATGTAGCAGTCAGATGGGGTAGTTTTTTGTTTTTATCAAATATTTGGGATGGAGAATTGGTGAAAATTAATCAAATAAACTAAACTCTTGGTTACTTCTGAATATATCAGTAGTATAGGTATTTGTTATTGTTATTTTAACGTTAAGGAAGAGAAGTGAAAATTAGAGATCTAATCATTATTCTTTTCTTTAACAGCCAAGACTCATATATTAAATACCAGTATCTAGAACTAATTGTTATTGTTAGTGCTATTTTTTTAGTAATGGAAATCCATGTGAAGTATGAGGGATTTATTACTGCTTTATGTGATGCAACCACAGATCCAGGCTCCCTTGAATAAAAAAAAAAATCATTTGAAATAGTTGAGACAGATGAGAAACTTTTTGTTTTCTTAAGTGGCAAAATAATTCTGAGAGTTGCTTCTTATGTTTTTACATGTCCTCTGTTGAATGAACATAGATATTTTGTTTCTGTTGTCATTAGATCAGTGGTCATAGGCCTGTTTTTGTGAGGGAAAATGAAAGCTCAAGGGTGTTATTTAACCTTTCTGGGCCCCCCAAATTTGTCTAGTGGGCAGAAGAGAGAAAGCACATTGCTCATGTCCTGCTATGGTTTGCCCAGCATCTCTAGCACTTAACTCGATGTTTAGCTCTGTTTATCACTCTGTATGAACAGAGCTGGCAACCAGATCAGTCTTACCTAGTCACACCTCTGGGCATGGCTTGCATATGTCTATATGTCTGTCTGCATGTCTTTCCCCCTTTGTTGGCCCTGTCTCTCCCTCATACATCTCTTTGTTGTTGTTTAGTTTCCAAGTCGTGTCTGACTGTTTGTGACCCCCTGCACCATAGCCCACCAGGCTCCTTTGTCCATGGGATTTCCCAGGAAAGAAAAATGGAGTGGGTTGCCATTTCCTTCTCCAGAGGATTTTCCCAACCCAGGGATTGAACCCAGGTCTCCTGCATTGGCAGGTGGATTTTTGACCACTGAGACACCTCTTTAATGGGTTCTTTTTATCTGTTGAAATCTAGATTCCTTAGCCGATGTCCATAACTGGTTGCTGTCCTTTCCAAATGCCTCTGAACTCATCTGTGTATGTACTAGGTATTTTAAACACAGTAAATTACAGTTGTCCCTTGAACCTCAGGGTTTAGGGACATCAACCCTCTTGTGAAGTAAAAAAAAAAAATCCACACATAACTTACAGTCATCCCTCCGAATCCATGATTCCTCTGTATCCATAGTTTCTCCATACCCATGGTTCCACATCTGGGGATTCACCTGACTGTGGATCATGTAGTGCTATAGTATTTACCATTGGAAAAAACCCACATATAAGTGGACCTGTTCAGTTCAAACCCATGTTATTCAAGGTCAGCTGTATAGTCTTTGAATATGTTAGTTGCTCAGTTGTGTTGGACTCTTTGTGACACTCCAAGGACTGTGGCCCTCTAGACTATCAAGATTGCCGGGAGAAATATCAATAACCTCAGATATGCAGATGGCACCACCCTTATGGCAGAAAGTGAAGAAGAACTCAAGAGCCTCTTGATGAAAGTGAAAGAGGAGAGTGAAAAAGTTGGCTTAAAGCTCAACATTCAGAAAACTAAGATCATGGCATCTGGTCCCATCACTTCATGGCAAATAGATGGGGAAACAGTGGCTGACTTTATTTTTTGGGGCTCCAAAAATCACTGCCGATAGTGATTGCAGCCATGAAATTAAAAGACGCTTACTCCTTGGAAGGAAAGTTATGACCAGCCTAGACAGCATATTAAAAAGCAGAGACATTACATTGCCGAGAAAGGTTCATCTAGTTAAGGCTGTGGTTTTTCCAGTAGTCATGTATGGATGTGAGAGTTGGACTGTGAAGAAAGCTGAGTGCCGAAGAATTGATGCTTTTGAACTGTGGTGTTGGAGAAGAGTCTTGAGAGTCCCTTGGACTCCAAGGAGATCCAACCAGTCCATCCTAAAGGAGATCAGTCCTAGGTGTTCATTGGAAGGACTGATGCTGAAGCTGAAACTCAATACTTTGGCCACCTGATGTGAAGAACTGACTCATTTGAAACGATTCTGATGCTGGGAAAGATTGAAGGCAGGAGAAGGGGACGACAGAGGATGAGATGGTTGGATAGCATCACCAACTCAATGGACCTGAGTTTGGGTAAACTCCGGGAATTGGTGATGGACCGGGAGGCCTGGCGTCCTGCGGTCCATGGGGTCACAAAAAGTTGGACACGACTGAGCAACTGAACTGAACTGAACTGAGACTATCCTACTGTATGGTCTCTGTTTCCCCAAAATGCCCTGAGTTTTCCACCACTTCCTTCCTTCATATCATTCTATTAACTGGAAAGGTTTTCCTTGTTGATCTCTATCTGTCATCAAGATTTACTTGTGAAAGTGTGAAAGTGTTAGTCACTCAGTCGTGTCTCTTTGTTACGCTGTGGACTGTAGTCCAGGCTTCTCTGTCCAGGGGATTCTCCAGGCAGGAACACTGAAGTGGATTGCCGTGCCCTTCTCCAAGAGCTTTTCCTGACCCAGGGACCAAACCCGGGTCTCACGCATTGCAGGCAAATTCTTATACCATCTGAGGTTTACTTAAATGCTTATTTTTCATTAATATTTGACTACTTCCCTGCAGCCCATTCTGATCTCTCCTTCCTCTGAATTCCTTTGGCACATGGCGCCTCTCATTTCATTCATCCTATGCCATCTTGTATTATAATTATTCCTGTTCAGTGTCTTGTCCCCTCTACTAGACTGATAGTTTTTGAAGCAAGGCGTCCAATTTTTATTTCCATACCATGCCTAATACAGTGCCTATCTGTCCTGTTTAAATGCTGAACTGCTGATTCCTCAACATTTTTGCTGCCCCCAAGTGACTGGTTGCAAAATAGCAGTAGTAAACAATTTAGTCTTGTGAATAGGAAAACATTGACCAAATTGAATGTAAAATATCCTTCCCCATATCAGTTCCATAAATTAACACCCATGAAGCAAAAGCCTATTCAGTAGCATTTAAACTATTGAATAAGCCTTTATTAGCAACCTAAATAGGTTCCAAAGTGTATTAAGTTCCAAAGAATTTTTATAAGATGACAAGTTCCTTGAGATCATAAAATCAAGTAGAATATTGAATTTTACTAATATTTCAGTGAGACCTGAGTACCACTTTCTATCATATGAAGAAGGAGCCTGACAATAAGAAGTTGCCGTTTGAAAAAGTTACTTCAGCAGGCATGTGAACCACTATTCAATACCCTAGCCCAAGTGTTTTCAACAAAGGGGATGTCACCCTCAAGGAGGCAAAAATTGGTTCTTGAGGAGTAAAATATCTTGGAAATTACAACAGATAAATGGATACCACAATATATCTGTGGTATTAAAACCTCTTCGGGGAGAAGAGGCAGCTAAGGGGAAAATATCCAAAAAGGCAACTTAAGGTAATGATGAAAAAAGATTTAAGAAACGCTGACCTAGCCTTTGATAACCCTTTGTCATCTCAGTTCCAACATTCATGCTTTATGTTCTGTTATTCCAACAAACTACTTCAGTGACTGTTCAGGACCCCCTTATAATAAAAATTAGTACACCTAAACCTTTAGGTTCCTGGCATCTCTCTTGTTTCTGTCACCTCCTCGTGTGTTGCTCCCTTTCTGCCCCAGTTAGACCGTACTGCCATCTGTTCAGTCTCCGCTCCCTTGTCTCTCCATTACATGTGCTCTGTAAACTCCTAATCTGGGGTGATTCTAGCCATTTACCCTACATCCAGGCTACTGAGCATTGCTAGAGAAAAATCACCTAATAGTATGGAATGGGCAACTGCTTGTGTTTCTCATTAGATTTTCTTCCCCCATAGAAAATTATTAGTTACTTCAAGATTTCACATCAAACTCATCCCACCTTTAACTTTGCCTTCTACTTCTCCTAGAAAATTGAGCTTAACAGGTAGAAGCTTTCTAATTCCTAAACTCTGTGAGTTTAATAGTATCCTTACTGAGTGTTTCATACTATTTCCTTAAATTCAAATAAGAGGTGGCATTTTCCTAATCAGGGCTAGCTCTTCTGCCTCTTCTTAATCTTATTACCTCCTTCCAGAATCTTACCCCAGTATATATTTTTTGTGTGTTCTCTATGTTATCAAACTCTCCCTCTCTGACTCTCTTTCCTTTATAATAAAGCTCTCCATGTCTTTCTTCTCAGTTATTATCAAATCACCAAGTTTCTAGAATAGAGTCTAGCCTGCAGTTGTTTAGTAAATGTTTATTGCCCAAGAGCGGATCCATCGACTAGATCTGAATAAATTGAATTAGTATATACATTTATATCCTTATCACAGATAAGTAAGTAGCCTAGTCACAACAACTTAGGTGAAAGTAGAGGGCTTTCTCTCAAGCTTTTAATCCAGCATTTTTCCCTTAGGTCAGTATTATTTGATCCAGATCATGATTCTGTCTTTTTAACAAGCTTCCACAAACCCCTCAACTACTGTTCATTTGTTATCTGTCATCCTCAGTAATTAAACATTTACTTCTGTCTCCAGTTGTGGCATACTAGGTAATCAGAACAATGCTCTCATTAGGAAATGTTAAAATAGTTAAAACATAAAACACATCTGCCTGTAGATTCTAGAGAACACACAGGATAACAAAAATTACCAGGCAAGGACCAGAAGAAAAGAAGTCTGAGTGAGGTGAGTCTGGTGTTTAGGTGTCCTTTTTCCTCTGGGGATTTATACTGATTAAAGGCTGAGAGGCCAAGAAGCTGAGCCATACTTGATAACCTAGAAGGACCAAAACCATAGACATTCATGTCCAGGGATTGCTAAAATAGGTTGAAACACGTTTGCTTTGGTTTGGAATTTTAAAGGCCATGATTGTAGAATAGAAGAACCTGTTCTTTCAATCATCCCAGTGTTGTAAATTGGATTGAAGTAGTCCTGGAATACTGGAAATCCCATAGTGCTAATCTCACAGGTTCCAGGCAGAAGAAAATGTTAATCTCCTGGGAAGAGATAACATTATCCTAAGCATAAATACAGAGTTAAACATACAATAAAAAATAAACAGATACACAAGAAAATACCTACAAAAACAATAGATGTTTGAAACACAGATAGGAAATCTAGTAACTGGATTTATCAGACAAAGCCTTTAAAATGATTATATTTACTATATTCGGGGAGATAAAAGGTAAGGTTGAAAATATTAACAGATAACTTGATTTTTAAAAAAAAAACAACAAAAATTCTAGAGAACAAATTTAATGGATTGATTTAACTGCAGAGTAGACATAAGCGGGATATAGTGACCTGGAAATAAATCAGAAGAAATAAATATGGAAAGACATAAAAAAGTAAAATACATGTAAAGTAATTAGCCTCCAACTAATAAAAATAAATGAAAAAAAAAAAAACCTCACTAAAAAAAAAAAAAAAAGAAGAAGTAAAATACAGGAGAAGGTAAGAGGTATATAGGATAAAGTGAAAAGGCCTAATACATTTTTAATTTTCTTAGTGTCTCAGAAGGAGAGGAGAAAAAGAATGGGAACAAACAATATTTAAAGAGCTGATAACTGAGAGTTTTCCAAAATAATGAAAGACATTAATTTATAGATTTAAAATTCTGTCAAATACCAACCAAGATAAAGGAAGAGAAGCCCACATCTAGACACATCAGAAGTAAAATTGCAAAAGACAAAGAAGTCTTAAGAGAAGCAAAAGAAGAAAAAGAAAGGATTGCCTTCAGAGGAGTCACTGTTAGATAGCATGTCAACCACAGAAATGAAGGTAATCGCAACCACCAGAAGGTAATAGAATGGTACCTACAATGTGTTGAAAGAAAATAACTGTCAACCTAGGATTCTATACTCGGCAAAAATATCCTTCCAAAATAAAGGTTAGATAAAGATGTTTCCAGACAAAGGAATAGAGAACTTATCACCTGTAGATCTGTACAAAGGAAATACTAGAGGTTTGGGCAGAGGAAGGTTGTCACAGATGGAAAGTCAAAAAAAGCAGAAAGGAATGAAGGTCAATGAAATGGTAAATCTGTGAGTGAATCTAAATGAATATTAAATGAACTTCCCTGGTGGTCCAGTGGTTAAGAATCCACCTGCCAATGCAGAGGACGCAGGTTTGATCTTTGGTCCAGGAAGATTCCACATGCCACAGGGCAGCCAAGCCCATGCGCCACAACTCCTGAGCCCATGTGCCACAACTCCTGAGCCCGCACACCCCAGAGCCTGTGCAGCAAGAGAAGCCACCACAGTGAGAAGTCCATGCGCCACAGCTAGAGAAAGCCTGCGTTCTGCCACAAAGACACAGCACAGCCAAAAAATAATAATAAATGAATGTTAAATGTGTAAAACAACCTAATAAACTCTTATGGAATTTAAAATACAGAAAAAACTAAAACATACAAAAATAGCATATGTATAAAATAGCATATGTATCTGGAGGGGATAAGTGAACTTGAATGTTTTAATGTCCCTTTGTTGCCTAGAAAAAGGGTAAAAGCACCACTTCCATTCCACTTTTACCTTTGGTCCTAGCCAGTGCAGAGGCAAGAAAAAGATACAGTGGATGAAAATATTGGAAAGAAAAACAACTGGCATGATTCACAGATTTTGCACATAGAAAAATTTTAAAAACATATATAGATAATTAATTAGAATTCATAGGTGAGTTTCATTAAGGTTACTGGATACAAGGTCAGTGCACATAAATGAGTTACATATCTATATGCCAACCTCAAATGAAACTTTTTAAATGAAACTTTTTAAAAAGATGCAACTTAAAATGGCCTTTAAAAATAAATCATGCAAAAGATGTACAAGATGTCTATGTAGAAAGGCATAAAATTAAAGGAGATTTAATAAATGTAATGATACCACATGTTCATGGACCAGAAAAGTAAATACTGTAAAAATGTTGGTTCTGTCCACCTTGATCTGTTAGATTCAGTGCAACCCCAGTTAGAATCCTGATAAGTTTGGGATTGGAGGAAGAGATTTGATTAAGCTACTTATAAAATTTATATGGAAATAAAAAGACTAAGAATAGTCAATAAACTCTTGAAGAAAAACTACATAAAAGGATTTACTGTATCAGATATGAAGACTACACCTTTAGTAGTCTACAGCACTACTACAGAGGACACTATGGTGCTACAGTGGTTAAGACAGTGACACAGGGATGGACAAATAGTCCAGTGGAATAGAAAAGTAGAAACAGTCCTAGTATAAATGAACTTTTGATTTAAAAAAATGGCACTGCAGAGACAAAGTCTTTTGGTAAATGGTGCTAGGACAATTGATTGTCCATATAAAAAAAAAGAAATGACCCCATCCTTATTCTATAAACAAAAATTAATTCCAGATGGATTGTTGATCTAAATGTGAAAGGTAACATGATGAAGCTCCTGGAAAATAATAATACAGAAGAATATCTTAATTACTGTGGAATAGAAAATAACTTTTTACACAATAAAAAGTGCTAATCATAAAAAATAGGAATAATAAATTAGGCTGTATTAACATTAAGAACATCTTTTTACTGAAGAGCACCATTAGGAGGGAGAATGAGCTGGGAGGAGATGTTTGCAGTATGTATATCCAACAAAGGATCCATATATATTAACAAATCCTACAAGCCAATAAGAAAAAGACAGACAATCCAGATATGCACAGGCACTTCTAAAAGAGGATATGCAAATGGCCAGTAATATAAAAGAGGGTATGAAAAAGCCTCAGCCTCATGAGTGATCATGAAAATGCTGTATATCATCAAGACAAGTAAAAACATGTGTCCACATAAAAATTTGTACACAAATGTTCATAGCAAGATTATTCATAATAGCCAAAAAGTGGGAAAACCTGAATGTCTATCAATTGACAAGTAGGTAAATAAAATGTAGCATATCCATTCAATGGGATCTTAGTTGGCAATAAAAAGAAATAATGTACTGATACATGAAACAAACAAACAGAAAGGGAAAAAAAAAAAGAAACGAACAAACAGATGAGCCTTGAAAGAAGCCAGACACAAAAGGCTGTATGTTGTATGATTCCACTTATGAAATATCCAGAATAGGCAAATCTATGGAGACAGAAAGTAGACAGGTAGTTAACCTAGAACTGGAAGTATGGAGGGAGATCAGAAGTGATATTAAAGGGTATGGGGTGTCTTTGGGGGGTGATGAAAATATTCTAAAATTTACTGTAGTAATGATTGTTCAAGTCTGTGACTGTGCTAAAAAGCACTGTTACACCTTAAATAGGTAAATTGTATGGTATCTCAAGTAACGTTGTTTTTAAAATGTAAGGTAGGGCTTCCCTGGTGACTTATGAATCTGCCTGCCGGTACAGGAGACACAAGTTCAATCCCTGGTTCGGGAAGATTCCACATGCTGTGAAGCAAGTAAGCTTGTGCACCACAACTATTGAGCCTGTGCTCTAGAGCCCCCGAGCCACAACTACTGAGCCCCCAAGTGCCCTGGAGTCCGTGATTCACAGCAGGAGAAGGCTCTGCAGTGAGTCTGCACACTGCAACTGGAGAGTAGCCCCTGCTCTCTGCAATTAGAAAAAAGCCTATGCGCAACAAAGACCTGGCACAGCCAAAGATAAATAGATAAATAAAATTTTATAAAATAAAATATGAGGTAGTCATGTAAATAATATAATTTAGGAATTTGGAATTAACATACACACACTACTATATATAAAACAGATCAGCAACAGGGACCTACTGTATAGCACATGGAATGATACTCAGTATTTTGTAATAACCTATATCTGAATCACTGTACAATGCACCTGAAACTGGTACACACAAAAGATGAATATCACAAACATGATAGTGAGTGAAAGTAGCCATACACATTGCGTACTATCTGACTTCATTTTTATTCATGTAAAATTTTAAAACCAGGTGAAACTGATCTGTAGAGCTCAGGAAGATGCGTTTTAAGTAAGAAAGCTATAAAAAGAGCAAGAAAACAGATACCACGAAAGTCATGATAGTGATTATTTTGCAGGGGAAGAAAGGGTGAGTAACTGGACAGGGGCAGGAAGGAGGCTTCTGAGTTATTGGCAGTTATTACCTGGTGATGATTAACATTTATCATGTGACGATGATCCTTTAGGAAGTACATTTTTGTTTTGTGTACTCTTCTGTGAGTGTTGTCACAATAAAAAAATTTTAAGAAATAAATATTTAACATTGCACATGTCAGTAGTATATATGTGATCATGTGTACTGAATCTAATCAATAGTAAGTGCTTATTTTGTGATGATAGTGTGTTAAGGACTAATAATTTAATTTTTCTTTTATTTTTGTAGGAATATGTTTATCCAGAAGCCAGAGACAGACAATACTTATTATTTTTCCATAAAGGAGCCAAAAAGTCACGTTTTGACCTAGAGAAATACAATCAACTCAAGGATGCAATTGCTCAGGTAAGCTTTCCAAAAATGAAAGTAAACCCCAGCCCCATCTTGTACAGTGGCTGCATCATCATCTATAATCACACTACTTAAATGGGTAAACTCTGAAAGAATGATCCAGTCCTCTTCTTCCTATGCAAATTATTCCTCAACCAGTAGAAGTGACTGTTTTAAAATATACATCTCTCCAGGAAGTTGTATATAACACAAGCAGGTATTATATAACACAAAAAAAGATAATGTGTCCCATCTATCCTGTTAACACTAGCATATTGAAATTTTTAGACCTATTTTTAGTTTTTTAGTTTTCGTATCTTTACCTTTCTGTCTGTTTTTACCTTTCTATCTTTCTACCATTGACCCCTAAGATCTCTCACCTAAAATGTGTGGTAGCAATGGGGCAAAAATAAAATCCAGGTAAAAGAGAGACTACTAGAAATCTTTGCCAGGTGCAAGTCAGAGGTTATTGAGCTACTGGACGCTTTTTAAAAATATTGGTATTTTATTTCTCATAACAGTTACCTCTTTCACATTTCTGATTATGCCTCCCCCTCACTCTGATATCTTTGATTTGGTTAAGAAATACTCATTCCTTTTTTTGGCAGTCTTTCATGACATTAGAGGTTTTTTAAAACCTCAGGAAACCATTCCCTTCTCTTCAAAGTTTAATCATCTTCTCTGGACCTTCTCCACCTTCTCTCTCCCTTTGTGATGATGGGGTTTGCTCTGAATAGGTTTAATTTGTCTTCCTGCCTCGGCCTGAGTGAATTCTTACCTTCTGTTGCTATGTGTGGTAGTTGTCAACTGGAGGGAATGTAGCAGAGTGGTCTCTGGAGCTATTAAAAAAATAGGTGCCTCAGCCCCATCTCCACACTGGGGGTGAGGCCCAAGCATGCGTGAGTTTTGAAAGTGCTGCAGTTGACTTCACATGCCTATTTTTAAAATTACTCATATTGAAAAGCTTAAACAGCAACTAGACAAAGAACTAAAGTCTTAAGCATTTTTCTGGGCTCCAAAATCACTGCAGATGGTGATTGCGGCCATGAAATTAAAAGATGCTTACTCCTTGGAAGGAAAGTTATGACCAACCTAGACAGCATATTGAAAAGCAGAGACATTACTTTGCCAACAAAGGTCCGTCTAGTCAGGGCTATGGTTTTTCCAGTAGTCATGTATGGATGTGAGAGTTGGACCATAAAGAAAGCTGAGTGCAGAAGAATTGATGCTTTTGAACTGTGGTGTTGGAAAAGACTCTTGAGAGTCCTTTGGACTGCAAGGAGATCCAACCAGTCCATCCTAAAGATCAGTCCTGGGTGTTCATTGGAAGGACTGATGTTGAAGCTGAAACTCCAATACTTTGGCCACCTGATGCGAAGAGCTGACTCATTGGAAAAGACCCTGATGCTGGGGAAAGATTGAGGGCAGGAGGAGAAGGGGATGACAGAGGATGAGATGGTTGCGTGGCATCACCGACTCCATGGACATGGGTTTGGGTGGACTCCGGGAGTTGGTGATGGACAGGGAGGCCTGGCATGTTGCGGTTCATGGGGTCGCAGAGAGTCGGACACGACTGAGCGACTGAACTGAACTGAACTGAGCAGCATAATTTAAATTCTGGCTCCAAAAATAAATAAATTCTGGCTCCATACAAAAGTTTGTGCAAGGGCTTCTCTGAAGAAATGCCATCAAGGTACATTCAATGCGCTCACATTCTTGAGCCCCGAGTCCTGCCCTGTTGATTGCACAGCCTTTTCTGGAGGCTCTGCTGACAGCTGAAACTACCAGGACCAGCTTCTGTTTCCGTAACCCTTTACTGTCTGTGCCTTTAACACCCTTCGCCACCGAGGCACTCCTACTTTCAGAGTGATTCAGATGATTTCTCTGCCTCATAATGATGGAGGAAAGACAATTTCCTTTTCTCAGGAGACAGTAATATCACTGAAACTTGACTAGCCAGTTTTTCTCACCTTTTGTTTCTATTTTAGGCAGAAATGGACCTTAAGAGACTGAGAGATCCATTACAAGTACATCTGCCCCTCCGACAAATTGGTGAAAAAGATTGATCTGCAAAGAGCCTCTGAGTCCCGGCAGAAAGAACACCTGTTTATAACTATGGCCTTTTTAATTAAAGCATTGCAGGTGGAAGCTGGGAGCCATGTTGGGGTAGAGGGTTTTTACCTTTAATTAAAAAACAAAAACAAAAAGATCTTAGGGAAGAAAGGAGTGTTTAAATCTGAGGATCACGCTTTGTGGAATATAAGCTCAAAGGGCTTAGTGAAATACTGTCTTAATCAAGCATCTCAGTTTCTGGATGAAAATGATGCACTATATGGTTGAGAGATTCACAAAGAAAAATTGATGCTGGGGGTGTTTGTCTCTTGCATCTTCTTTGCAGGGTCAGCAAAACAGTAACACACCAGCACCCTACTCAACTCTAATTTTCTTTTTTTAATTTAACTTTTCTTAATTTTGACATAGGAGTAAGTAAATCCACCAGAAAAGCAAAACCTCAAGATGTGTGGGTGGCAAACAGAGTCTGAGCCCATGTCATTAGCTTTTACTTTAGACTGGACCCAGTCTCTGCAACGTTACCAGGAATTTCTCCCATTTGTGCACATTTCTGACCATCCACACCTGTTGGTACACTAATTTTATCCATATGATAATTGGAACCAACTTATGACTGTTTGATAATTGACACTTTGGATTATCCCTTCATACCTTCTTAAATGTCTATATATTTCAGTGCTCTGAATCACTATCTAGAAATCACTGGCAACACTGCATGAGGTTTCTTTTGTTTTGTTTTTTACTAATTAATCTTTAAGAGGAAGACAAATTTCCCTCCTTTATTTAACTATCCCATTGATCTCTCCCTCCACAGCTCAAGCCAGAGGGGGAGTGTTTAGCTATATTACTGAATCAGGAAGATGTAAGGTTTACAAATTGGCTAAAAATCATGGCTCTGTAGCCATTTCAGAACCCGAATAGTTTCATTGCTGTTAATCTGCTTGTGTGACAGCATTCCAGGCCACCCAGATGGCCTTGCCTTGTCTGGAGGCTTTGTTAATCTCGAAGGATACACACTTCCATGCTGTTTGTGAACCCTCCCACCTCCACCACTTAAGTAGTTGTAAATCAAGTGAGTGGATCTCAAAGGGTGCAATTTATCTTTATATAGGAATACATTTCTATGGTTTCTTTCAACCTACCCTCTTCACCCTATTTTTTCTTATCTTAAATTGAGAGAAAGAGGAAATAATCTTATACTCTTATGAAAATATTTTCTATCGTATTTCCAGATGACATCTGCACTTGGAGAGTCAAAGGAATCTGTGTCTAATATCCTGTTTTTATTAATAACGACTTGTGGGGGCAGGATGAAAGGATGATGGGGCTTGCCACACAGCTAGTTGATTCACTTTTTGTTCTTTCACATGGTCCATCCCTCCTCCTTGTGGCAAGGGTTTTCTTTCCCTTTTTCTTCCTTTGGGATCATTGTGTATGAAGAGAAACACTTTTAAGTGACAAACCCAGACTCCAGGTGCCTTGCAGAGGTTGAAGGCCAGCCAGGACTGCTGCTGCTGCTCCTGCCACCACCCCTCCCTTCCACTGGCATGACGGAATGAAAGGATGCATGTCTCCACTTCCCCCTCCTCCCACTTCCTTCCTCATCCGCCCCCAAGTTGTTCAACCCCCTTCCCTCATTTATTTCTGTTAAGCTCTGTGAATTATTTTTAAACCATTTATCCTGTTTGTACTGCAGGGTTTTTAAGAAGAAACAGCACAGTGCAATGAGCAAATCCTTTCAGGTTGTGTGGGAGGCTAGGGAGGGGAGAACGTGAAGAAAAGTCCTTTAAACAAATAGCAAAATACTGAACATGTGTAAAATCCTGTATCATTTATGAAATATGTATAAAAAGCAATGTACCTTCTGGAACAATAAATACTTATTCAATTTTTGAATTATAACATCTCATTCTTTAAAGGAAAGCAACCAAAATCAGAAATAAAAACAAACTTGTATTCTTCTGATTTAAAGTGGGAAAGTTTTTACCTCTAAAATTAATCTTTATAAAAATACAATTTGGAAATTGTTTTGTACCTGGAGCCTGTATTTTTAAAAGGTGTTTTATGAAGTCTTCCTAAACTTAAGATGGTTGACATTTTCCTAGTTTTTCAGAGCCACCAGAAGTTCAGTTATCAGCAACCCAGATAGCACCAACAGAAGGCACTGAGGCTAATATCCTGATTAACAGGAACTGTCTCCCTTGTGTCAGAACACCAGATTACCCAGTGTGGTCTCCTGGACTCCAGAAACTTGCTCAAGAATGAACTAAGATCAAATTCCCATTATTTTAAGAGTTTGTATCAAATGTATAATGTTTACCAAATGGGAAGATACCGCCTACTGCCCAGTCCATTGAAGGCATATCGAAAAGCATGTGTTAAATCTCTGCATTAAGTGCAGTGTGAGATATACCAAGAGCCTCCACAGCCATGGTCCTGCCTCTGGTCAGCTCACAGCTACCGACACAGACATTCCTAAGATACATAAGGCTTAAGAAGGTAAGATTGAAAATGTTAAGCTGTTGTTTGCATTCAACAAATAACAACTACACTCTTGCCCCTATGGTCAACTAATCTAAGATAAAGTAGGCAAGAATATACAATGGAGAAAATATAGTCTCTTCAGTAAGTGGTTCTGGAAAAACTGGACAGCTACATGTAAAAGAATGAAATTAGAACACTGGCTAACACCACACACAAAAATAAACTTGAAATGGATCACAGACCTAAATGTAAGGACAGCTAGCATAAAACTCTTACAGAGGAAAACATAGACTACCCTCTGACATAAATTGCAGCAATGTATCCTTTGATCCACCTCCTAGAGTAATAAAAACAAATGGGATCTCACTAAACTTAACTTTTGTACAACAAAGGAAACCATTAACAAAACAAAAAGCCATTTGCAAACTAAGCAACTGACAAGGGACTAATCTCCAAAATACATAAATGGATCATGCAGCTCAATATCAAACAAACAATCATATCAAAAAACAGGCAAAAGATTTAAATAAACTTTCTCCAAAGAAGATAGGCAATGGCCAAAAAGATTCAAAGATGCTCAACATCACTAATTATTAGAGAAATGCAAATCAGAACTACAATGAGGAATCACCTCCCACCAGTCAGAATGGCCATCAAAAAACCTATGAACAGTAAATGTTGGAGAGGGTGTGGAGAAAAGGAAGTCCTCCTACACTGTTGGTGGAAATGTAAATTGATACAACCGTTATGGAGAACAGTATGGAGGTTCCTTTAAAAACTAAATATGAACTACCATATGATCCAGCAATCCTATTCTTGGGCCTTTATCTGGAGAAAACTGTAATTCAAAAAGATACATGCACCCCAGTGTTCATTGCAGCACTGCTTAAAATAGCCAAGACATGGAAGCAACGTAAATGTCCATCAGTAGAGGAATAGATTAAGAAGATGATGGTTCATATATACAGTGGATTATTACTCAGCCATAAAAAGAATGAAATAATGCTATTTGCAGCAATATGGATGGTCCCAGAGATTATCATATGAAGTAAGAGAAAGAAAAATGTATACTTATATGTCAAATCTGATTTTTTAAAAGTGATAAAAATGAACTTACTTACCAAACAGAAATAGACTCACAGATCTTGAAATCAAATTTATGGTTGCCAAAGGGGATATGTTGGGGGAGGTAATAAATTAGGAATTTAGGATTAACATATATACACTATAATATATAAAACAGGTAACTATTAATAGTAAGGACCTACTGTATAGCACAATATTCTGCAATAATTTACATGAGAAAAGAACCTGGAAAAGAATGAATGTGTGTGTGTGACTGATTCACTTGGCTGTACACCTGAAACTAGCACCACTGTAAGTCCACTATGCTCCAATAAAAATAAATTTTTAAGAGACAAATAATAGCTACATATTCCACAATATCCTGTTATGCTTTGTAGAATACGGAGAGTATTAAATTCATTCGTGAGTGTAGGTGATGCAGTTTTGCAAAGGGATCATAAACTTAGAGCTGAAAAAAGTATTAATAAAATGATTCTCACAATGTGGTACCTGGAACAGCAACTTACATCTCCAGAAATGCAAGTTCTCTGCTTCCTACTGAGTTAGGAAGTTAGACCAGCAATCTGTGTTTAAAAAGTGCTCATGGTGACTGATGCAAACCGTTGACCTCATCAAACCATTGCTCTAAAGGGAAGGAGACTGAGACACAGAGGGCAACTATGTCACAACTCATCAGTGAATCCTGTGATCAAACAACCAGAACAAGTGAGAATTTGTGGGTACGGTGACGATGGTAAACGGAAAGGGCACTGATCATGTCACATGTACATACAATTGTATCTTGCTTGGGAAGGTGTAGTGGTAAGCACATAAAAAAACAAATACAAATAAGTTGAATTTTTAAAATCTATCTGTATTTCACAGAAAAGTGAAACTTCTTTGATTTCAGAAATCAAGTTCACCAAAATTATTAAGGATTGTAATTCATTTTTATCACTACAAATAACCTTTAATTCATTGCTTTCCCAGTAAGTCCAAACTCCTTATTTTCGAAAACGCACTATATGGTTATTTCCTTAGGATAAATACATAGGTTAACATGTGCTACTGAATATAAAATGACCCACTTTATAAATTTTCATTTGTGTACGTTTTATAAATGCATCATCCACTGAACAATCCACCCACCTTGAAGCTGCCCTCAGCTGCTATGGCGACTATATGCCCAGTCACCCAGTCATATCTGATTCTTTGCAACTCCATGGACTATCACCTGCATTTCTTAAGTGCTTTTCAGTCATTTTGCAACATTCTCTGCCCACGTTTTTATATTAGGCTTCTCCAAGGTCCCATGTTGGACCCCATTTTCCATGGATGGTCTCATCCATTCTCCCCAGTTCCAGTTTCAGTTACCTTTTATAAGCTGGTAGCTGTCCAATTGTTATTCTAGTTCAGATTTCTCCTGAAGAGCAGATGGGTTAAT